TCATGTGGGTCATACAGTGTCTGTGGCAAATATTCCTATCCATGATATTCCATTCCTGATGAGGGCCCTTAGAGTTTAGAGCCTGCTGGTGTATAGGGAGCCATACCAAATTCAAGACAAATACAGCATCTGCATCCTGTGGTCACTCTATTTTCACTAGCTTCTTCTTATGGTCCCCTTCCTATTTCTCATCCCAGCAGTATTTGTTGCCTCTTGTCTCCCCTCCTCTTATTTCTGCCACCTTGCTCTGACAGAGCTCCCCAAGGCTTAACACCACTTGTTGCCATTCCATTGTACATATATCTTGTGGAATGAGGTTTCTGAGGACTCCTTGGCTTACCATACAGTGGGAACAACCTCCACCTTGTTCCTGTAGTGGAACTGCTGATGGGCTCTCTTTTGTAGATGCTTCTCGTTGAGTTGCAATGGTACCATCTCCTGCCTATGCTTTTGCATCTGGCTCCTCTTTAATTTCCTCTGTGGTTGGTAAAGCTGATCCCTTGAGGTTGAGACCTCACCCTTCTTTTTAAGCCCCTTGCTCTGGGCAGCCACCTCAATCATCCTTCCAGTATCTAGGGTTCCCTGTTTACAGATAATTCCTGGGCACAGCAGTATGGTTACATGAGTTCAGGAATATAGCTAGTCCTGGGTTGTGGATCATCCACTTCCCACATTTGGCAGTCAGATGAGGATGAAATAAGTGCCTTGCATAGAAAAGGTTCATAAGAATCCAATAGCTGACTATCAAAAGGAGCCATCTTTTTGCTTTTCTGGGTCAACCTTTCCATTATAGGGCCCCCAATGTATAGTTTGAGGGTTCTTCACTTATCTCTACATTGAATCTCATCCCCTGTCTCTGACTTCCCACATACACAGCCATCCTAGCCTCCCAAGGCAACCAGATAACATTGGACCCCTTTTAGAACTCCTTCCTACATTTGTGAGTTTTCTGTTTCAGCCATAGCCTGATTCTTGAGGAACTCTCAAAAACAGTTTCTTATTCTATAGGTAGCTACTTAGCAAAACCTGTCAATTGTCCCATTATATAAAATCATCCAAACACTGCCATCTCATCTATGGCCAAGGTGAGCATTTTGCAGGCTTCTGGTACTCTGAATTGAAAAGTATTGGCTCAAGAGACTCATGAATATGTCTATGGTTTGTTTCTGCTTTTAGAAACTTTAAATGTTTTTGAATAAAAGTCTCAGAAAATGCTCCTTGTCTGAGTCCTCATCCCTTCCCCCTCTACTATCTCCAAGGAAGTCATGTTCTTTCTAGTGGAATGTTTCCTGTAGTTGACAGTTGCCATCTGCACCCACCAAGACATCACCAGGACATCCATTTACTTTTTCTTCCTGGTACAGTTCATGTGTTCAGGAAAGAGACCCCAAGACTGGCCAAATAGGTGCTAATGGATAATAACTTATTTTCCCTTATTCCCAACCAAAATATTACACAGGATTCAGTTCTGACCAATAAGAGACAACATTTATTTTCTGGGGCATCTGAGACAGAAGCTATGCTACAGAAAGAAAGTGCTCCTCACTGGCAGTGAATGAAAGATTTTAATGAAGCTTTGATCCTTGGAAGTGGTGAGGATGAAGCAGATCCTGGAGAATTCAGAGGGAGGCAGGAAAGAAGCTGGATGTTTGATGAAATTGTTCATCCACTGCCAGTATTTCTAGGCTTTTCCAGTTTTATAAGCCAGTAAGTTTACTGTGTTCTTGAACCAATTGTTGGAAACCAAAAGCAGTCTAGCTTATTAATTGAGTTCCTTTTGGTGAAATGTCTCACATGCATCTTTAGTGTTAATTTTACAAATATGTTCCCTGACTCAAAGTGAACAAGGTCATTGGTAAGCTTATTATCTGAGCTGCCACTCTATATACATGCTCACAAAGCAGGTCCCTGATGTGGTACCACAGGTCTTAGGAATACCAGGGTCTATCACCTGCACATCCCCTCAGTCCTTACTTTATCATTCCTGTACCAGGACTCAAGATTTGACCCACAAGGCTTATGTAGGAGGCCCTTGGGCAAGAAAGGCAAGTGTAGTCCCAACAACATTCATAGTAGAGTGGCTTTCCTGGCAAATGTGGAGGGATAGTAGTGTCCTGCAGGTGGCTATTTTCCATCTTGACTGCTCTCAGAGGGTCCTCCTCAAAGGAGCTAGTACTTACATGACCTTTAGCACCCAGGCATAGGTACAATGAAAAGAGAAATCACTGCCTTCAGCATACATTTCAATCTCTCAGCACCCTGAGTTCCTTCTTAAGCAATGAAGGTGTGCAAAGTAAAAGCCCCTGTATACAGGTGGCAGAGGAAGCATCTGTTTCATACTGTGGGTGAGTACTGGGTAAGGGGACCAAGGCAGAGAGTCCTAGTTGTGACACTGCCTTGTTGAGTCACCTGTTGTCCCTCATAGGTGAGACCTACTTCCAGGAGGAGCCAAGCAGATAGAGTATCCCCAAGAAGAGCTATGTTACAAAGACCCAGGATATTCCATCCAGTGGCCCATGCTTGGCTATCACTTCACTTTTGGCTTTAGTTGGCTTACTGAACACAAAGTGGAACTGTAGGTGATGAGAGCAGAGATTCCCACCTTGAACTAAGAAACGGGGAAGGAAACTTATTCAGGTCAGAGGAGTTGCTAACATGGAACAGATTCACTTTGGTTGGGGACCAAAGTGGCATAGAAACTTGACTCAAGTCATAGAACAGAGCTGGGGTATCTTTCTGATCCTCCAGCACCTAAACCTGCTTGTTATTCAAGAGCACACTGGCTGTAGCAGCAGAGGGGCCCTAGATAGCTACCACTTGGCCTCCTATGAAGAGTTGCCAAGGACACACTAGAGGGCAGGTGACAGGGACTAGTGGCTTCCTGAGGGAGTCTTTTAAAGGTGTATGCTGCGTGGGCTAAATGGGAATGCTAAGGCCCATCTCTCAAAACAGCACACTCTTTCTCCTACAGAGGCACTTCTATAGGCTGGCTAGACTTGGACCCTGTCTGTCCCAAGCCATTGCTAGGTGTCTCTACAGTGCAGCCTCAACTTTGCTGTGGGAGGCAGAAGAGAACTCAGGCCATGTACTCTGAGTACCTAGCACCTAGCAAGAGCTGGATACACACCAGCTATTATTATCACTATGAGCCAAACTGCGACATGAGAACACATTTAATGCAACATGCAGCTGTGGCCTGACCTGGGATTTCTCCTTACAATCCCAAAATGCTATTTGCAGAACCCTTTTTCCATAGCCTCAGTTACTTCAGGGTGTAGAAAGCGGCTGGCCAAACGTTCGATGTCATCCAGTGTTAGGCGGCTCAAGGACCTGTCATAATCCTGAGGAGAAAAGACCAGGTGGACTCAGGGGATGCCAGTGGGAAGGTATATGCTGCAACAGGTAGGGGCTGGGGTAGAAGCATTAATATTAGAGGTCCAGCATTACTCTTCTCACCCTCTGTAGTTGTTCCAGGACCCTGCTGGCATCTGCTACACTGAAGTGACGGGCCAGGACTTTGGAGATCAGCTGCCAGATGGGGGTGGCTGGGGAGTCGACCAGTCTGTGGGCAGACCCTTCTTCCAGTAGCACCTTCTCCAAAGGCTTAACAACTAGGTTGAGCTTAGAATTGGGCCCAATGTTGTAATCTGACAGTCGTTTCTCATCTGCCAAAGAGAGATTGGTGTGGTTCCTTCCTCACTGATGTGGGGGTGGCTGGGAAGCAATCCTGCCACAGCCAGCCAGAGCAAAGCATTGCAGCATCTGGCTATGGGGTGGTGGGGTGGTGATGGCTCAACTACTTTTCTGAGGTCCAGTGGCAGCCAGTGCCCTGATCCATTACACTGGCCTGTACTTCCCGTCCCCCAGCTTCCTGTGGGGCTCCCTGGATGGCTCCTTTCCCTGGTTACCTGCTAGGGCCTTGCCCTTGAACAGCAGACGTTGCTGGCGCACAGGGACATTCAGCTTATCCGAGACCAGGTGCTTCAGTGTAGACACTAGCTCGTCCTCCGCCACCTGATCCAGCCGAGGTGGAGAGGCAAGGGCTCAGCCCGAATTCCCTGGGCGGTGAAGCCCTCGCACTCCCTCCTGAGGTCAGCTCTCCCAGCCTCCCCCACCCGCCCTCAGTCCCCAGCGGCAGGAGTGGGTGAGTGCAGCAGCCTGCAGGGTGACTTTACCTGTAGGCTGCACTCCCGGCCCTGGAGCGCCTTCACGGTCAGCTGCATGGCGTCCACGACCCCGTCCACTACGTCCAACGCAAACTCCAACGGTCCCCTGCCGCGCGCTGCCGCCCCGGGCGCGCGCCGGAACCGCCCGCCACCGCCGGAAGCTGTGAAAGGGGCGAGCCCGTCTCGTGGCTCCCGCCTGCGCGTTCTTCAGTCCCGCCTCCAGGCCTTCACTTCTGCCCGGGCCGTGCCTTAGGTAGAGTCCGCCACCTGGGCTTAATGGTGTGAGGACGTGGGGATGTCCCGCCCACTGGGATCGAAGTGAGGTACCTGTAGGGTCAGGCTTGCTTAGCCTGGGAGCTGTGGCTTGAAAGGAAGGACCAGAATGTCAGCTTCACACAAGGACTGGCCTGTGCTAATTCCCACCCTGCTGATGGACCAAGTCAGTGCAAACGCGCGCGGTGGTGTCTCTCAGATGCAAAAATGGTCCAGTCCTGCCTGCCATAGCTTGATGGCTTTCTACTTCCTTTCTAGTCTGCAAAAGTATCCTGACTGAAGCTCTGAAGTAGTGGACAGAGGCCTCTGCTCTCCTCATTCCTTATAGTGCAGAGATCTGCCCTGTTGGGGTGGGCTGTTAGAGCAAAACCTTTGTAGATCTGGGGATACAGCTGAAAGGTACATGTCTACCATGTACCTTTGCAAAACAGAGTGAGTGAGGAAACAGTGGGCTCTGTGCAGGGTCACCAAGCTTGTTCACCATTCTGGCCCATACCTGTCCAGACACTCTTTTTACCCCAATCCACAGGCTCCAAGGGACAGACTGGAAAGGACCCAAGCTTGCTTTTGTTTTTTTTTTTTATTGAAATATATTTCTGGGCAATACCCAACTATCTAACTCAGCATGGCCTCTTTGGCATTGAAAGCTGGGGGGGGGGGGGGGGGAAGAGTAAAAAAATAAGCTTGGATTTGTCTGAGTGCATAGTGCATGAGAACTAAAGGCCTTTGGTACACAAGAACTGTGGGAAGAGGAGTATGGAGGCTGCGGGTTATAAAACTTGATCAAGATGGCTCAGGGAACAGGAAAAAAGCTGCTATAGATGAACTGGCCAATAACCAAAGCCAGCATCTCAGAGGTGCCACTCAGTGCCACAATGAAAGGGGCCTGAGAAGCATAGTCTGCTTGAAGGCGGCGCAGAGACAGTTGTAGCATGGCTAACGCTAGCAGGCTGTTTTGCACCCCTACCTCAATGCTGACTGTTCGCCGCTGGGCCACTGGCAGCTTCAGGCAGATGGCCAGGCTGTAGCCCACCAAGAGGCCAACAAGAGGCACTGTGAAACCCACCAGTACAATGGGTAACCTGACTCCCACTAGGATGAAGACCCCCATGTGATAGGCCAGGAACAGGCCACCCAGGAGAAGCACAAAGCTGAAGGGCTTGATGACCTGTAGCAGTAGCTCAGAGAACTTGGGGAGCTTAGACTTGATCACCACACCTGCTGCTATGGGGATGGCAATAAACAGCAGAGTCCCCAGTATCTTGGAGATGGGCACGTGGAGTGTTTCATGGATGCTGAGAAGGTAGCTGTAGATGGCTGATGAGAGTGGCAGGAAACCAGTGGCAGCTACTGTTGAGATGAAAGTCATGGAGATGGCCAGGGTGACATCTCCTCCAAGGAGGAGACTGAAGAGGTAGCTCCCTCCACCACCAGGTGATGAACAAGTAATGATGAGGCCCAGAGCTAAGGCCTTGGGTAGCATGAAGACTTTGGCCATCAGGAAAGCATAGAAAGGCATGACCAGAAACTGGCCCAAGAGGCCCAATAGCATGGGTTGGGGGCTCTGTAGGATCTCCTTCAAAACTTCAAGTTCCACTTTACACCCAAATGAACACTTGTTGACAAAGATAAGAGGCAGAAGCAAGTAGAGTACTGGATTCTCTGAGAAGTGGCCCAAGTTGGCATTGAGAGCAGAAGGGAGGTCTTCAGCAGATGACACCCTGATGCAGAAATCTCTCCGTTCTTCAATCAGCAGGGGTGGGGCCTCATGGAAATCCATGAGCTGGAGGTGGAGTGGGGCCAGCCCAGCCAGACCTGAGTGGATGCTCGCCACGAAGCCACCTCCACTGCCCCAGGTTATGGCACTCACATTCTTAATGGTCAGCACCTCTGTGTCCAGGGATATAACCTTAAGTGTGGGGCTGGGGCCTGTCCCATTGGCCTGTCCAGTGTATTGGCTAGAGATCACAATGATACCCTCACTCTTCTCAGGGAAATCAAACTCTGTCACTGACCCATCCCCAATACTCAAATAGTGACCACTTGTGTGGCCCAGAGCAGTGCTGATGTTGGCACTGGCCATCACTTGGGCCCCCCATGGCAGGCTGATGAACAGGAGGGCAGTTCCCAGCATGCCTACAAAACATGTACAACCACCCTGTCCTCCCAGGCTAGGCAACTGCTGGCAACTACCTCTGCTTTTCCTGACCACCATGGCACTTCACAGAGGATAGTGTTTTCAGGCCCCTTGTATCTTAGGGGAACACCCTTGCTTGTGCTGTTGGAATGTCCTGAGAAGGGTCCATGGAAAGGTCCTGGTCCTATGTTTTCTTCCTTGATAGCAGGACTTTTCCTGAAAAGAGAAGGGGCAAAGAAAGTGGTAATGAAGAGGAGAAACTGCAAGCTTAGGGGCTCTCAGCCCTTTACCTCTAGTTCTGGAATAGTGCTGACCCTTAAATGTTATTCAGCCAGCTCCTCTTCAAACACAGCTGCCTCAAGCTTCTCAGCCCTCAAGAGGGGTCACCTACATATAGGAAATCCCACTCAGGCTGCCAAATTCCATGGACTTTCTTTTCTTTTTTCCCATGGACTTTCTTACTATGGTAACATCATAGAGAAGTTCTAATACTGAGGGTTTTAGGAGAATAATCTCTAACCCTGTCACCACTAACCCATCCCATACTCATTTCAAGATGCAATGATACCACCATGGGAATGAACTAAATTGCTACCTGGAGGAGCTAAGTATGGTGGCTCACTCCTGTCATCCCAGTATTTGGGAGGTAGAGCCAAGAGAACCAGGAATCTAAGATTCAGTTATATAGGCAGTTCCAGAGCAGCCTGGGAGACTTGACAGTCCATTTTCAAACAAAGCAAATCAAATAAATGACTTCCTAGGGGAGACAAAGAGACTGGTCAGATGAGAACAAAGGGTGCTCGTGGGAGCATTGGCTTGGGCCTGATCCAGGTCTTTAAAGAATAGAATAAGGGAATCTAAGTGCCATTTGCCAGCTACAAAGTCTTAACAAAGTGATATGTGCAGTAGGTGACTTCCTGAACCAAAGGCTTCTACTGAAAAGCTGTGGCTACATGTCTTGTTTCATCTGCTCTATAGTTATGAGATGGAAGTCCTTGTGAGAAGCATGCCCCTGCTTCCCAGGGAAGTTACAGTAAAACTTCAGTAGGAATATAGTAAGGATACAATAGGTATCCACTGAGCAACTTTGTCTTGTCAGAGCTCCCTGGTCTCAGAATTTGAGCTCTCATAGCTACTGCTACATCTGAGAGTCTCTGTTTAGTGTCTTCTGGAATGCATTACCCTAACAGGGTCTTTGTGTGTAGTCCTGTTTGCCTGCAACTCACATGTAAACTAGGCTGGTCTTAAATTCATAGAGATCTGCCTGCCTTTATCTCTTATGTGCTGTAATTAAAGGTATAGGCTACCACATTCAGTCTTACCAGAGTCTTTTTGTTGTTGTTGTTGCTGCTGCTGCTGCTGAGACGGGGCCTCACTGTGTAGTCTTAGCTGGCCTGGACTTCACCATGTAGACCAGGCTGGAACTCAGATCCACATGCCTCTGCCTCCCAAGTGCTGGGATAAAGGTGTGTACCCCCTACTAGAGTTTTAAACTTATAGTGAGCCTGAGTATTTCTAACGGTAGAGTAACACGGGGCAAAAGGAGAAGTCTGCCTCCTTCCCTTTCTCAACTGGATAGTCAACACCTTTGTATCGTCATCTGCTAGAATTGGGGCAACTAGATGGCAGTGGACATAGAAGGTTTTACATTATGCTGATTTTGAGTGTGGGTCACTTACCCTGGGGGCCCTGGTCCAGCCTTGAGTCTCACTGATGAAGAGGGAGGCAGGAAAACCAGAGTAAGGTAACTAGTCAAGTAAAGAGGAAAAGATGTAGACATCAGAGTAGTGTGAGCCAGTTAAGGGAGAGGCTAAGGACCATCCACCCATACCCCATCCTACCAGTGGAACTGGTGGACCATAGTCACTCTAAAGGAGATTTGGCCCCTATCCTACACCTCTGCTGATAGAGGAGCTGGAAGAGTTAGAGTAAACACATTCCAAGGCTGAGGAAGCAATACCATCCGGAAGTTTTTTCCACAGCACCAAAGTGTAGGGGCTGAAGGATAACTAGCAGTGATGACCAGGTCTCCTCCACACCTGGGAGTCCAGGGTTTGTCAGATGGTTAGAGAAGTTAGGAAGGGCTCACAACCCCCACGGACAGTCTTGGGTTCAGAAGAGCCTCCATGTCATACCCGCGCCCTCAAGGCCTCTCGCTGGGTTTGGCCAGAGCCGGTGATCACAGATTGCCAAAAGTCACCTCCCATCCTTCCCAACCTAGTCGAAGTCTCTCACCTGCTTCCGCAGCCACACAGCTCCTACAAGCAGCGGCCAGGCCGGCAAAAGCCGGCAAGCGAGGCCCGCCCAGACCGGGCCTCGTCCCGCCCCCACAGGCTCCGCCCCACCAAGGCTCCACCTGCGTGCTAGGACTCCGCCCTCTCACAGAGGCACTCGCCCCTGGCAGGCCTGTGTGGGTTCCCAACGGATGTGACGTTTCTGGAAGCGACGAGCTGGCCCTACCACGTGATACCCGATTTCCTAAGCCACTGCTATTGGCGTGTGGAGCAATAAGTACATTCTTGTGTGGTTACCTCCTCAGATAAAAATGGGTGATGGGAAGGTGATGTCAGAGGACAGTAAACTGATATTGAATTAAATGTGGCGGTTGAAGTGATGGCTCAGTGAGTGCTTACTACTTTTTCAGAGGACTCTGGTTAGACTCCCCATCACCTACTTGGCAGCTTGCAGCCGTCTGTAACTACAGTTCAGGAGATTAGGTACCCTCTTCTTGCCTCTGCCCATACTGGATGCATGTGGTGCACATACAAACATACAGACAAACATACACATATGTCATTTTTAAAAAGGTGACTTATATGCAGGTGGTTCTGTTATTGCCATGTCGGCTTTTCTTTTTGAAGTGTACAAAATAAACTTGTTCATTTTATTTGTTTTGATCTCTTTCTTTCTTTTTTTTTAAAAAAAATGAGGATGGAGACAGAAGCAGGCAAATCACTGAGTTCGAGGCTAGCTAGGTCTACTGAGAGAGTTCCAGGCCGGCCACACAGAGAAATTCTGTCTTAAAAAAAAAATCTAAAATATAATAAAATAAATAAATAAAATAAAATAAAATAAAATAAAATAAAATAAGCGTTTGAGATGGCTCAGTTGGTAAAAGCACTAGAGGCCTATCAATACTACTAGTTCAATGGAAAGAAAGAACTGACTCCTAGAAGTTGTCCTCTGACCTCTGTGAATACTCATATACAAATCATGTATATACACTTTTTTTTGGGGGGGGGGATGGTTTTTCGAGACAGGGTTTCTCTGTGTAGCCCTGGCTGTCCTGGAACTCACTCTGTAGACTAGGCTAGCCTCGAACTCTCAAACTCAGAAATCCACCTGCCTCTGCCTTCCAAGTGCTGGGATTAAAGGCATGTGCCACCACTGCCCGGCTGCATATACACATTTTTAAAGGGTGATT